TCGTGGCGATCCGCGCCGCGGAAACTCTGATAGGGATGGGGCTGCGCAGCCAGGAATACGTTTCCAGGTTCCGATACGGTGAGATGTCTTCGATTATCCAGGGTGAGCGATTGCTTATACACTCCCAGCGAACTCGTTTTCGCACGTCGGCATGGGATACACGGCTCGATTCATCATCAGGATGGCCAGCTTGATCCCGAGTGAGATCAATCTGCGACAAGTGGCGAAGGACGTGGAGGCGCTCGCGAATGTGCTTACTCAAGGTGGGTCAAGGTCATCCCTTCTTCGTCCGCGGTGGTCTTTGGTTCCGCGCATGTCCTCTTTGCTATGCCTGATTCGCAAAGTGCCGGGTTTCCAATTCGCGCATGTCCTACTCGATGCCCTGAAACGGGCCCGACGCGAGAAGGTACTCCCACCGCCCACTCAACCCCCGAGCCCTTCCAACGGCAGGCATGATCCGCTCGAGCAAAACCCTCAGGCTGCGTCGCCAGCGGGCACATTCGACCCTTTGCATGGCTTGCCGCCTTTCGACTACAGCCTGGACACCGGTGGGCCCAATGCAATGTTTGACTTCAGCTTTGCCGACCAGCTATTGGGCAACTTGGATCCCGCGGCACAGGGCTTGACCGGTCGACCGTCGAACGTGTGTAGTGGTCTGCGCAATGACTCATCATCCTGGGCCCGGATCATCAGCTGATGTAACAGTACGATACGTCCTATATCGATTTCAATGCTGCGTCGCAGACGACCCTGAACGTGGATGATTGGTTCCCTTTCCCGCCACTTGGTGCGTTCGCCAGACTACGTTTCTACGCGCACCCAGCGCATGTCCTGCAAACTCACGCCGTTACCATGAGCCTCTGTCTAGGATAATCGGCTAATGGCTCAGATCCCGACTTGACATCCCATACGTTCCCCGTTAGCTCATCGATCAATGTTGACACCGCACCAGCATTGGGGACGGACGGCGCGGGCTCAGACATGCTCAACGGACAATGGCGGTAACGGCTTTGCCGGATGTCATCTGATTTGGCCTGTTGATCAACTGCAAGGTCGTGAGGCAGGTCGAGGAATTGCAGATGCCGAACACCCGTTGGAATGATGTCCTCGGCCTAGATTGCTGTTCCGCATCACAAAATGAGAGCATGGGCCAAGGGCGACTCCGTGTCGCAGCAATGACAACTGCCTCTGCATCTGCGATGTCCACAAGAGTTGTCTTCGTCCGACTGGACGGAGGATCTTGATTCACAGTTGTTTGATTCCGAGGGCTGGCTAGGCGTCGCTCTGAACCGATCCGTATAGGGCTATCCTTTCAGCCACTCTGCTATGCAGCGGATGAAAGAATAGGATACGCGAAAGTTTGGCTAGTTGAGGTACGTCTACGACTGGCTTTACGGAAGGAGGTGAAGACTCGTATCCCAACATATCTCAGACGGGTCCGCGCATCCCTCTATCGCGTCGATATAGAGTGCGGCGGGGCGGTATGCATGTTCTTTCGCCGCCTCCCTCCTCCTCCTTCTCCTCCTCCTCTTCCCTCTCGTATACACAGCGCTAGCGCTGACAGCCCCGAGTACTCTACGTGCCAGTAGGGAGAAAGCCGAGTTGCTTCTACTACAGCACCAGCGGCCAGCGGGACCGGCCGGTCAACGGAACCGACTCCGGCGCCGGCGGCCGGGAACTCCCCCGACTATATAGGTTCTCCGCGTCGGCCGTCTTTGGACGTGACCAGACAGATTGACCGCCATCGCGATGAAGTCGCTCGCATATCTGCTCGTAGCTAGCTCAGCTTTCGCAGCTTTCGTGCCCACCCCGCAAGCCATCCTCCAGGAGGTCGACGAGTTCCTACATCCAAATCGACAGTTGGAGATTCATCACGGCTACTACGACGAGCAGTCCGGCAGGCATCGCAAGCTCTGTGTCCTGCATCCCCTCGGAGAGGGTCAATTCGACGACGACAACTTTCAACAAGCTCACCGGGAGTGCGGACAAGGTGGAATCATCCGACTCCCGGACGCCAACTAGTCAGTGTCGGTTTCCTGTGCCAGACGACCATGGTGCTGATGCAAGGCTACAGCACGATTGGCAACCCTCTGACAACCCATCTCAACGATGCGGTGCTCGACGTTCACGGGTGGATATCATTCTCAACGGACATCGACAACTGGGTGGCCAAGCGAGTTCCACTGGGTTTCCAGAACCTTGCTATCGGATGGAATATCGTCGGAGAGGACTATGTCCTGGATGGACATGGAACTGGAGGGATCTTCGGGAATGGGCAAGCGTGGTACAACTGGGCCAAGAACGAGAGCAACAAGTACGGACGGTACGTGGACTCCTCGAAATTCCTCGAAATTTAAAGTGCCGCTGGGCCCTATCGCACAGGTGGACTGACCTCAAAGCAGGCCAATGTCGTTCTCCATCACCAACTCCACCAACGTTTCAATCCTCAACTGGTCGGTCGTCCAACCGCAATTCTGGGCTTCAATCGTTGTCAACTCCACCAACGTGCTCTATCACAACTACTACGTCAATGCGACCAACTTCAACCCCGACGGATGGAACGACACACTGAGCTGGATCCAGAACACGGACGGCGCCGATACCTACCGGTCTCGCAATGTCACCTTTGGTGGGTTTCATCCGGTCTGTTTCAATCACCCACTCCCCATGGCTCTCAAGTGCACCCAGTCGATCGCGAGATGCACTGCCCGGTCGTCCCCGCCCTTGTTCCCCTTAACAAGTTACATCCGACCGATGCGCTGACAGGGAAAAGATGGCATGGTCTTCCAGGGCGGCGACGATTGCTTGGCCTTCAAGCCGAACTCATCCTCGATCACTGTCCGAAACGTCACCTGCTACGGAGGTACAGGGATTGCTTTTGGATCCATCGGACAATACAAGGGAGTCGCCGACTACATCAAGGACGTCTGGATCGAGGATGTCAAATTGTATCCGGGCCAGCACATCATGCAAAACGGAGTGTACTTTAAAAGTTGGATGGGGTTGGAGCTGGGCAAGCCGCCCAACGGTGGGGGTGGCGGGGATGGGTGGTCCGAGAACATCACGGTGAAGGATGTCTACATGGAGCAAAACAGAAGGCCGATCGCTCTCCAGTCAGAGTGAGTTCTAGCGCCCTCAAGTCCATGAGGGTAAGCTAATGCCGTCCAGCTTGACGTATCTGTACGATCACGCCCACATTGGCAGAAACACCGGCCTGTTCAACTGGCACGGGATCCTCTTTGAGAACATCACCGGCACAGCGGAGCGAAACCGTGTCGTCAACCTGGACTGTTCGAAGAAGACTCCCTGTTACGACATCGTCTTCCGGGGTGTAAATGTCAAACCCGGCAAGACGGATGACCCGTCGATCAACTTTGTTTGCAACAATGTGATCATGGATGCGGAAGAGGGCTTGCAGCAATGTCATCCCAGCAACAGCACGCGCGAGTCGGAGCCCGCCGGCACGGCGCCGACACCAGAATGAATCCTGGACCGTCTATCCAATCAATCATAGAGGTATTATGTACAAGCTATGCTACTCATCCACATCTATCGCCTCCCATCCGCTTCTCAAGCTGCTACTGCCGATGGTGCGAAGGCCGCCTCGTCGGCACTCCACGCCTCGCCGCAAGGCCCGCCGAGAGCGGCGGCACCGATTCGCGTCTCCCCAGAATTTCGGGGATCAATCAGCGGCATGTACCACTCGGCCACCTCTTTGCTGGTCCTCGGAACGTAATGGAAGATCAACGAACGCCTGAATCGGTCGGTTGTCGTGTTGGGAAGCGATCCGTGGACCATGCTGCCGTGGAAGAAGAGCACGTCGCCGGCCTTGAGCTCTGACTGCACGCGAGTCATGCCTTCGGGTATGCGGACGGTGTTCTTAGAGAAGGAAACGGTGGGGTCCGAGTCTTCGTGGCAGAGAACCTCCTGTTTGTGAGATCCGGGGACGAGGATGAGACCTCCGTTCGCCGCGTCGGTGTCGTCGATGGCCACCCAGGCCGCGAGACAGGTCTCTGGATGAGCTTTGAGAAACCAGTTGTCCTGGTGCATCGCCTGGCCACGAGCAGAGGGAGGCTTGAAGTAGAACATAGTTTGGGCACCGTACACGTCACCGATCAGGCTCTCCGCCATTTTGACGAGCCGCTGGTCGATGAGATATCGGTGAGCCGTGCGACCCGCCTCGGTCTCTGGGTGTCGGTGCGGATGAATGAAGCGTGGGTACTCGGCGAGAATGTCATCGGAAGCGACATTGTCGTTGTGGCCGAGCTCGATCGAGCTCTCCACCTGGTCGGTGAAGACTTGACGGATGTGGTCGATCTCGTTCGGGGTGAAGAGCTGGCGGATACAAACCACGCCGTCCCTGACGTATTGCGACGGAGCCGCGTCTGGCTTGGCAACGAGGTCGGAGAAGATCATGACGGTGACGTGAGTAAGGATTGCAGAGAGGCTAGAGGTGCTGGATTGCTTCGGCGCGTGGGCTCAAGGACGTCGTTGGAGCTTGGAGGTGAACTTCACGGAGAGCCAACCGAAGTCTGGGCTTTTCAATCGGCCTTCGCCCGCTATTGTAAACATGCACGTATGATCAGTCGGAGCCGAATCGCCGCGGTGCCAGCACTGCTGGCGCCTGGCGGCGATGCTGCTGCGGCCCAGCTACATTAAGTCCGCTTCGACTAACTCCGTGGCGGAGGTGGCGTCACGACCCACCCCGCGTGCTCCATCCTGCGGCGTCGGTGCTCCTGCGCGGGGGGCTCGGCCCGGGTCATCGCTTTCGGAGCATCGGTATCGAGGTCTCGGGCTTCGGAGCCGAGGATTGCTACTGTATGTATTCTTGTCAGAGGAAGAGCTTGTGCCTTGTGCAGTGCATTCTCGTCGGACCCAACTTTGAACGCCTGCATTTGCTTCTCCAAAACACATATTGAACCTATTATGCTGGATTGTGCAACGCTATTATACTGGGCTTTGCTTTGTCGATGTCCCACAACACACCGTCCCCTGGGATGTCAGAGGTAGATCAGGACCGCTGAACTAGCCTCGATAGTGACGCTGCCGTCCGCGGCGACATTCTCGTACTGTTCCGTGCCATTGACCGTGCCGCTGTATGTCTCCCAGTTCTGTCCGCCCCAGGTGATACCGCCTAGTCTGTCAGCTGGCATCCAAACACCAATATCATGTACGCACTCAGGCCGTCAAGTGAAGGAACCGAAAGTCGCTTGAGCCTCGCATTCTTCCCGGCGATCTGGGGGATGCCAACCTTTATGGCGGGCCTGGAAGATGTCGTGTTGCTGTCATCAGCATAAGCGGCTCCGCCACAACCTACGCTTGAAGCCACGGGACAGAGTCGATGAGCACGATGCGTCTCAAGGTCTTGTCTTCATAGACTGAGTATGCAGCAAGGTTGACGTTGTCCGTATACAGCTCGCTCATCCACTACGACGACCGTTAAGCTATGCTCGTGAACAGACTATCGGCGGGAGTAAACCCACGGTCTTGCCAGATGTGCCGATGGCATCGGCGACTACGACGAAGCCGTTGTATGAGGGCAGGATGTGACGCTTCGCAGTGGGGTCATAGTCGGTGATGTTCAAGCTACCCACGTTGTCGATGGGGACGAATGCTATCGGCTCTCAGTCAGAGGGTATAGGAGTGGTTCCCTGGACTCGCTTACCGCTATAATTGTAGCCCACGCCTTGGTGGAAATGCAGCTCGTCAATCCCAAGAGTGGCCGCTTGCAGAGCGTAGTCGATCAGCCAAAGCGCCGCCGCGTTGGCGTTTGACACGCCAGCAACGCCGTGCGAGAATCCGGTGTTGGTCTCGCCGAGGTAGAATCGAAGCCCGCTGGCGTGTGATGCATCGGCGCTGGCGGTGTATTGCGAGAGATTGCCTCGTACGCCGGCCTTGTTGATCAGGTTGCTCGGCGTCAGACTCTGTACGAGGTTGAGGTTCTGGTAGTGATGTTCGGACATTGAATTGGCGCGCCTGGTGTCATCAGCCCTGCAGTACAGTGAGCATGGATGAGCTCTTTGACGTACTTGCCCAGATCGGTTGACAGCAAGCCAGAGGAAAACAACTCTACAGCACGCCAGTACGCAGCGAAAGACCCAATTTGAAATTTCATCGAATGGTCGTCCAAGTCAGACGAGATTTGGTCGACCCAAGAGGCGCTATGGTAGCTCGACAGGGATTCCTACGCATCTAAGTAAAGCAGTGCTCACTATTGGTCTGCATACTGCAGCAAGGTCCAGTTGGCTGGGCGCCCGTTGTTGGCCCAAGAGTCCGGCTCGTTGCCGAATTCGAGTGACTGCAGATGCACATGCGATAGACGAGAGTCCTGCACGAGTCGGCCCGCGTTCCTAGGACAGGCTGTAAACCGTCTCGACGCACCTGAAAAGCGTCCTGGATGGCCTGGACCTGGGCTTTCGCCTCACTGACATTGTTCTTCAACAGGTCGACGCCCCAGATGAATTGTGTCCCCGACGGGAAGTTGCCCGACGTGAGATAGAACTCCTTGCCCACAGCCACGTAGTTGGCCTCTGGGAAGAGCTGCTTGGTAGAGGTGTAGTTGGCTGGCACGGCGGGGAACACATCCTCATACACCTCGACCGATGGGGTGATCACCGTTCTGTCCTGCGTTCCACCTCCGACGCTGCTCATGAGCACGGGTCGTGCAGAATGCATGCATCAGCTTCTGCGTTCACATACCGGATCGTCACAGCTGCGCCGGTGCGCTGCTTGAGATTGTCGAGCAGAGCGTGTGTATATTCGTTCGGGTGAGAGAGGTTCCCCGCCCAGTCCGGGAACCGGTCAAGCTCGATCGACAACCCGGCTGAAGTGGGATTGACATAGCGGGCATAATCTGGCCGATCAAAAGTCACTCGCAGTGTCGACGTGGTAACGTTCTGCGCAAGCGCTGCCCAGACCAGAGTAGAAGCTAGGGCGAGAGCACCCAACATGCTGGTCAGTCGGTGTCAATGTGACAGAGCAATGAGCTTCATGAGACGGTTTTCATGACTCGCTGATTGTACTTGTACAAAAGAAGAGAGTGTTTCCACGGATCACCCACTCGGCCGGCCCCGCGTCGGGCCGGCACCCGTAGCGGAGTTGTGGGTGATCATCTGACCTCATGTCGTCGGAATTGGGCACAACTAGTTCGAATTTGGCGATGCCAAGACGGCAGCATGGCGTCTGATCGGGCCCGACGGTAGAATGCAACACCGAAGACCCTACAGAAGGAACCTCTGCATCTTGTCCGAATGGTATCTACCGAGTTAAACACAACCAGCGACTCTACACGAACACATCAGTCCTGTACCTCTCCTGGGCCAGGCTGTCCATCTTCTCGCCGGCCTCCTCCTCGCTGCATCCCTTCGCCTCCATGATGATCTTGATGAGCGTCTTCTTGAGATCGAGGGCCATCCGGGACCCGCTCGCGCAAGTGTAGAACATCGCGCCAGCCTTGTACAGTGCACGAAGCTCTTCGCGCTCGGCCCATACCCTGTCCTGAACGTACTTCGCGTCGATCACTTTGACTGGGGCAGGAAGCTCGACGCTCTTGGCTCGAGAGAAGACCGGGCGCAGATCGAGTGACCCATGGGACGCCCACGTAAGTAGTTGTTCCGCATGCATCATGTCGGTTCGGTCCCGGCAGCCATAGTACAGTATCGTCGCGCCGACCTGTCTGCCACCGGATTTGAGCATGGCACGCTCAGCGGCAAAGCCCATGAAGGGGGCCAGCCCGGTCCCAGCGGCGAAGAGGACGACCGGAGTCGCCGGATCTGTCGGCAGGTGGAAGTTGACGGATGACTTGATGTCGCATCGGAGCGACTGTCCCGCGACGAGCGAGGAGAGGTAGTTGGATGCGGCGCCCAGACCATGCGCGGGGTCCGAGGGAGACGAGTGGATGTCGTAGGTCAGAGTGACGAGAGAAGGGTCGGCCAGCGGCGTGGAGGAGATTCTGTGGTGGGTCAGCGGTGTTGCGACGCGAGTCGTCTGCAAGAGAGGACGCACGAGTACTGCCTGATCTTCATCTTGTGAAGGCTCTCCAGGAAGAATCCTAGATCATGCTTGTGCTCCGGGATCTTTTCCAGAACGTCGAGCAGGCTCAGCCGCCTGGATACGATCTCATCGTTGTTCTCATCCGCCAGCGCTTGCGCCACCTTGGCGTCCTCTCCTTTACAATGCGCAGCCAGCTCTGTGAGGGTGCGTTTGCTCACTTGCTGTCCGAGCTCGATGTACGACTCAAGCAGGTCGCCGGCGCGGACTGGAGTGTCACGGGGCAGGTGTGGGCAGGCGGCGCCCGACTGCAGGGTAAGCACGCTGTCAGGCTTGAGCCCAAGGCGGACCAATGCACGAGAGACGGTTGCAGGTGGGTTCTTGGGCAAGACAGCGAGGTAGTCCCCAGCGCGGTATGGGCACCCTTCGGCCAGTCGGATGGTCGTGTGCACCTTCTTCCTGCGATCGGCCTCGGCTTCGACCAGGGTGGCTTGGGAGACGACAGTGCCTAGCTCCTCAACACCGGCAGAAAGCAGCGCTGCGGTCGGGTTCACCGAGGAAGGGACTACTTGCACGCTCAGCGGTTGTGTAGCCGCGCTATTCGAGCCACCGAGAGCCTCCCACAGTTTCGATTTGAACGTCTCGATGTCGTCGACGATGTCCCCGCCGGCATCAGCAAGGGACAACGGCAAGAAGCGCTGAGCGCCGAGCTCCTCAAGTCGGCTATCGATGAGCTTCGGTACCTTGTGGAAGGTCCGAGGCCAGTCGTGATGACCCGCGCCGAACACTGCGTACCGAACACCCTTGAGAGCGGTTTTGTCTTGCTGCTTGGTGATTGCCTCGACGAACAGTCGGCCGTTGCCCGGTGGCAGGCCCTCGTAAGATGGGGTACAAATCACGACTCGTTCCTCAGTTGGGAGCTTGCCGTCCTTCGCGAAAGTGTCGAGTGCCGCCGCCGTGGTGCCATAGCCGCGCTGCACTCCCTCGGAAGCAAGCTCACTGGCAAGAGTCTCGCAAGTCGCAGAGTTTGACCCGTACAAGAAGACGAGCTTGTCCTTTGCTTCGCTCGCGGGCGCCCCCGTGCCGTTGACGAGGGCAGCTCTGGCTACGGCCGGAGCAGCAGAGGCGGAGGTCCCTCCCGAAGTAAGTAGCTCCCCAATGAGACTCTGATTTCGACCCTGCCTCGGCTTGGCAACCATGCGGAACCCGTCGGGCTGGATGGTAATGCCCATTTTGATCTTGAGGTCGTACCCCTTGTCGGCGAAGTCGAGATCGAACCGGTGCAGGACCACGGCGAGTGCGAGCAGCCCCTCCTGCATGGCGAATAGCTGGCCGATACATGCTCGCGCCCCGTTGCCGAACGGCTTCCACGAGTCGGGCGGGAAGACTGTGCCTTCGAGCCAACGTTCTGGGCGGAACACCTCCGCATCCGGTCCCCAGGCCTTGGGGTCGCGGTGCAAGCAGTGGGGAACCACCCCGATGGGTTGTCCCTTCTTCAAGAAGTAACCCCCGGGGAGCTCGACATCCTCCTTGGGCGCTCGGGTCCAGAACGTGGCGGTAGTCTGAAGGCGGAGAGCCTCTTTCAGCACCGCGTCGAGGTACGGGAGCTTGGTAGGGTTGATCGCGGCTAGGTTGCCCCCAGCGTCCTTCACCGCGGCGTCGGCCTCTTCCCTGGCCTTGCACATGATCGCCGGGTTCTTCAACAGATAGTACACGGTGAAGGCGAGCGTCCCGCTCGCGGTCTCGTGGCCGGCGATCAAGAAGGTGACCATTTGGTAGCGGATGTTGTCGTCCGGCAGCCTCGCGCCGGTCTCGGGATCCTTGTCATTGATCATCCGGTTGAGCAGGTCCCCGGCTTCCGGGTCAGGCGACTTGCGTCGCGCCGCCACGATCTCGTCGCAGGTCCGGTGCAGCAGGGCAATGTTGGACTTGTACTCGGCCTCCTCGCGATACATGAGCTTGTTCACCACACCAGGTCGGCGCGATCGGGTGTACGCGTCCCCGAGCAGCTTGGTCATGGCGGTGAGGAAGTCGTGCGGATTCTCGCGGTTGAAAGAGTTGAAGCGGTATTTGAAGGCGGTCAAGCCGATGGTATCCTGAGCTGTCTTTAGCAGGTGCCGTGGCAGAGAGGGAACACATCACTCACAAAGGTCAGACGGGTGAACTGCTCGGCGGGCTCGAAAGGCTGCCCGGTGTGGTGTTCCCAGTACATCACCATCTGCGCCAGCACGTCCATCATCATCGGTTGCATTTGCCGGATCGCCATGGGGCGGAAGGCAGGGACGAGTATGCGGTGAGCCAGCGCCCAGTTCGGCTCATGGTTGAAGGCGGTAAACAGAGAGTCGCCCGCGAAATCTCGAACGTGCTCGAGCGGCCCGGCGACGACCTTTTCGAATTTGGCCTCGTCGCACACGGCGTGAATCATCTCTTGCGAAGACACGATGACCATGACTTGGCCCGGCACCCGGAGCTGGTAGATCGGCCCATGGACTTTGGCCAGCTTGATCAGCGAGCGCAGAGGCACCTTGGGGTCGAGGTCTGGCACGTTGCCGAGGAGGAATGTCTCCTTGGGCTGAGGGATGGGCTTCCCCCTGTCCTTTCGGACGCTCCCGTTGATGCTGGAGCCGTTGATCGAGGACATGATGTCGCGTCGCTCCTCCAGGCGGTTCGAGACTAGAAAGGATGTTGTAGTGTCGAGAGATCACCATGAGGTTTCCACGTCCGCAGGTCACTCTCATACCTGGTCACACCCAACCTGCCAGTCTACTGTCTTGTCTAGATGCCCCAGCGCCAGCGCGTTCGCGAACTGTGCTCGGCTCCCGAACAACCATTGCTGGACAATTGCTGGTCGTTGTGGGAACCGAACAGGCGGGAAGCCAACCAGGCCCGATGCTGGTACACTTCCTATGGACCGAACTCAGGCACATGTGCATCCCCTAAGTGCAGACGGTCAGACGGTCAACCACGCCCGCTCCAATCTGCTGCAGGCCGTTTGCCGTTTGGCCACCGAAACCCTGTCGATCTCTCGGCATCTACTGCATAGGCACACGCCACGGCGTCTTGGAGCGACGGAGCGACGCTCGGGGACTCCCGCCACAGCCCAGGATCTCCGCCACGCCGTGAGCTTATCCAGCGGCTAATGAGATCCCCTAACCCATTTCAAACGGGATTTGTAAGCAAGATGTCCCATCGATATCGTGAGGCATGGAAGGGACGTGATGAAGAGTACCAGTACATACTCGTAACGTATCTTCTTCTACCCAATGTATATCAGAACGGTACCCGGATCCACCGTGTCACCTTCCGAGACTGCTAGGCTCAGTACACTCTTGCCGCCCATCCCTTCGCCCGCTGGAACCATGATAGAGGTCTTCATCGCCTCCAGCTCGATGACCGCGGTGTCATCCGTGGCGATCACATCCGCTGGTTGCACGAGGATCTTGTAAACGCTCGCAGAGAGCGGGCTGGATATGGCCAGACCGTGGGTGCTGCTCGTGGCGTCAACGGTATGTTTCCCAGCGGTACCTTTCGCCGCGTTGAACTTTGCGAACAGTGCTTCTTCCCTGCTTGTTCAGCTGCCGCATCAGCCTGATTACTCACTCCTTGCCGACCACCGAGCTGGCTTCGAGTTGTTGGCTTTTGAACGCCACGGTCTCTTCTCTAGTGTCTTCCAGCATCTTCAAGTAGTCTCTCATCTTGAACGTTGCTTTTCGCCTCTCTGGCTGCCAAGAGCCTGCTTTGTATGCCCGTTCAGTCTGCAATGTTAGGTCGATCTCTTCTCACTCCATGATCGCTTACTTTGACAAGATCGTCTTCCGACACTGGGAAAAACTCGATCTGATCGAAATTGTCGACAATTGAATGATTCTCGGCCCAAGCTTTCCAGGTGGAGAGAGTCCGGCCCAACAATTGATAACCGCCCGCCGAAGCAATGGGGTATATCCCGCAAGTCAGAGCCATCATCGAGAAAAACTCACGAGCCGACGACCCCTGCGAGACCAATGGCGCCTTCTGGCGTTCTCGTTCGAGATGGGTTGTACTTTTGAGCCAGGAGCCTCCGCCGGGGATCAAGCTGTATGTCAGCTGACGCGCGTCGTCGGGAGTGCTCAATAACGCTGCGTGGCGTACTGGCTGCACAAGTGTCAATCACTGCTCTAGCTCTCGAAAGGCCCGGCGTTAAACTCACGACGATGAACGGCAACATCACGAAGAAGCCTCGTGCCATGACCAGCCAGGGAGTCATCGTCAAGGCATCAAACACCATCTGTTTGTCTCCCCCGTTGTTCCTCCCCACGTAATGCTGTTGCACAAATCAGCACGAAACTGTACCCCAGGTTGTCATCGCAGCAGCCACACCCACGGTGTTGTTCGGCAGATACACCGCCTCGTCCCTGCTCGTGCGCATGTAGTAGTCCACAGCCTCTTGACACCACTTGTCATCGACCACAACGGGAAGTCGAATGACATGGATGTCTAGCTCGACGTCTTCCGCTCCAGTCAAGCCTGCGTCCGTCTCGATCATGATCTTCGACAGCGCGGTCATGCTGATCACCCGCGGGTCGAACTGGACGAGACACGAGCGGATACACGTGTTGAAATCGATCACACCGCGGATTTCTGCTGCCCGCATGGCCCGCTCCCAAAGCTCCACTTGGACGCGGTTTTGGATATCCAGCCCCATGGGGCCGACCTCGTAAAGCACGTACCGGTCTCCTGCTTGTCGGAAGGTTCGCTCAAGTGACCCGGTGCTTTGGTGCAGCACTGACGTTGACGCAGGCGAATTCCTGAAGCTGGTGCTGCACGACGGTGGTATCGATGCCGACGACAATATGGAGGAGAGCCACTGCTCGTGGGCAACTTCCAACTCTGCCGCGGTCTCGATTGATATACACACGAAACGGACCGTATCTCCTGGCCGGATTTGACCAAGTTTCCAATGACTGCCAGTGGCCACGGTCTGCCATTAACCAAGGCTCATGCCCGGCCATGACTCACCAGAACGCAGGCAAAGCCACCCATGTCAGGAGCATCAACGCCGAACAGAACGGGCGTATCGCCGTTCAAGTTGAGGGCGCCGAACGGATAGCCTGGTGGGTCAGCGACGTTGCTTCACCTCCGCCTCACCTTGATGACTTCCACCTTCCCCGCCATCTGACCTCGCCCACTGGATACGTGGGCCGTCGAGGCGGAGACCTGATCGGTTGGATGCTGGCGTGACTTGCCATTCGGTATCGAGTAGCGTGTTCATGCCCTCTGGCGCGATGAATGCAGGGTCCCATTGGGCGCCCAAACATACCTCGATCTCCCAGGCGGATGAGAAGATCGGCACAGCGGCAGGAGGGACCCTCAAGACGGGCCCCTCTTCGTTGGGGGATATCTCCAGGAGATCCCCGGCCAGGAGCGGCCGACCTTGATGACCACCAAGCTTCGCCGCGTCAAATGTGGACTTGCTGCCCATAAAGGCGGCTACGTTGGGGAAACCACCCTTGACGGCTAAGTAAGATCGGAGACCGTGGGCGAGCTGTACCGGGATGAGCGGTCTCTCGAGGACAGCGATGACCTACCGCCGTGCCGATGTGTAGGATCTGGCCTTTCTTCACTTTCAACGTCGACCATTGAGATACCTCGTTTCCGTCAAGTTTCGTCATCATCGCTGCACCAGTGACTGCAACGACAGCGTCCGTGTGGAAGAGCAGCTTGGGCCCCATCATGGTTATCTCCAGCGCCTCGGTGGAGGGAGTGTTGCCAACCAGGATGTTGGCCGCTTGGAACGACAACATGTCGGCCGGACCACCTCGTGGGATCCCAAGACCGACGTTCCGGCCGGGAAGGTCCTGGACAGTGGTCGCCAATCCTGGAGACAGAACTTCGATCGCGGAGGGGCTGTACTCGAACGCGTCGAGGAAGGTCGTGTGCAAGGTACCAGATCGGAAGGCTGGTTTTTGTCAACGCGGGTTCTCGTCGACTCCGGCTCACCTTCGGTGGCCAGGATCCTCCGGCAGTAATCCATGTTGTTTGTTGGCCCCACGATCTTGGACTTGCTCAGGACCGTGGTCAAGCGGGCGATTGCCACCTCTCGCGTCTCACCGTGCACGATGACTTTTGCAATCATGGGATCGTAGTGCGGCGTGACCGTCGTGCCCGTCTGGGCGATCAGTGCGCGCACATATTCCAGGACATACCTCGACCCAGGTGTCGATGCGTCCCCCCGGGCCGACATCGGCCCATTCTACGTGGTGAAGCTGGCCGGGACTGGGTTTGAAGCCAGCCTTGGGATTCTCGCAGTACACGCGAGCCTCGATGGCGTGGCCGTGAAAGCTCAGGAGGGTTGCTTGATCAAGGGCGTCGACGTCGAGCGAGCCGGAGGGAGACATCCCCTGGCGTAGCATGAGCTCGACCAGGTCGAGGCCCGGGTGCACAGCTTCCGTGATCCCATGCTCGACTCTGAGTTGTCAGCAATGCGATGGACATCGCAGTCAACACCCACTGGATTCGAGCGTTGAGCTCGAGGAAGTAGAATTCGAGATCCGGAGAGTCCATGTCAAGCACAAACTCCACAGTTCCGGCCGAGCGGTACTGCATGAGCTGACCCAAACGCACAGCTGCCTGGCACATTCTCTCGCGTACACCTATGCTTGAGCTAGGTGCGATACAATCCACTCACTCATCCCCGCCTCGGTCGAGAACAAGACGCAAGGCGATTCCTCGATGACCTTCTGATGCCTTCGCTGGACCGAGCACTCTCGTTCCCCTGCATGCACCACATGCCCCGTGCCGTTCCCAAAGATCTGCACCTCGATGTGTCTCGCGCGCGTGATGAACTTCTCCAAGAACACGGCTGATTCCTTGAACAAAGCCTGAGAGGACATGAGTCTCAGTTCGTCTCAGCGGCACTGTCGCGGCACTCACTGCACCCTTGTCCCTCGTTGCTTGGAAGTTTGCCTCCAACGCCGCTTCGTCTTTGAGTCAGCCGTGCTCACTGACGCCGATCTCACCTTTGCAGACCTGCATGCCCAGACCCCCTCCACCCCCCGAGGCTTTGACCATGACAGGGTAGCCTATCGTCTTCGCCAGTCGAACGGCTTCTTCAAGGTCATTCACCACCCCGTCGGAACCTGGGACCACAGGCACACCGGCCTTGATTGCTATCGTCCGAGCTTCATGCTTGAGACCCATGGACTTGATCTGATAGGGTGTTGGACCGAGAAAGACCAGCCCATTGTCCTCGCACGCTGCTGCGAACGCCTGGGCATGATCAGGGCGGTTGACGGTGCACGATGCCCGCGACGATCGCTGCAAGACTCACCGCGTTCTCGGACAGAAACCCATAGCCTGGTGCGACCATGGTCGCATTGCTCTTTTTGGCGATAGCGACGATCGCATCGATGTCCAGGTATCCACGTGGATCGGTTCCGTCACCGATGCAGTGCGCCTCGTCTGCCTGGGACACATGAGGGCTGGCCGCGTCGGCGAGGGTGAAGAGGGCCACGGTGGGGATGCCCAGCTTGACCGCGGAGCGGATGATGCGCAGGGCGATCTCGCCGCGGTTGGCGATCAGTAGCTTGGGCTGCATCGGGTCGCCTGTATCAGACTGAGACGGTCTTCTCAAAGGATTGATGTTGTTGCCTAGGTTGTACGAAG